GTCAGTGTTTAAAAGAAGCAACGTGTGACCATGCTGCGATGCTTCTGTCATCCACTGTCTGGCAACAATTATGCCAATGATGAAGCTAGAGCTCGAGCCAAAAGATCAGACACACACGTATTTCCCACGCAAAAATACTTTTCTCGCAGGCCCACTCACCTTCAGCGGCACGTTGTAATGTGGATTGAAGTACAGACCTTCACGCTCCGTCACGTGTTTTCTGCGCTGTGGCGCTTCAACTCGCTTTAAGTTGCGGGAAAAACGGTAACACTTGGAGAAGAATAATTTACATTTTACATGTAACCAGAGGCTAGAAAAATGTAACTGTGTGTTAGACCGCCATTATTTGTCGTTTAACGACGTGTTTCAAAAGGGTCGTGATAAATAACACTTGTCACTGTTAGAGGCCGGTATTATGTTGTAAAAATGTAATTGCCGATTTTATTACTTTGGGCGATACAACTGGCTAGACTGCAACTTGGCTACGGAGTATACAATATTATTGAAGATACGGCTTTGTGGAGTAAATGTGGAAAATTCCTTACCATAAATGTATATTATAAAATGAAAAACAAATTGCCTATAATGAGTTTTATCTTCAACATAAGAGCACAATGAAGAGCTTATAACGTTAGGCCTATATATATTGTGCGCAATAAATTATATTTTTAAATGATTAAAATAAACAAGATACAATAACAAATTGATATTAGACAAAGGGTGTCTATAATTAACACACATGCACACATAAACGCAAAATAATTGTCTTTAAATACCACTATAGCCACTGCAATACCAATCCAATTATAGTATTAGATTTGTCATTTATATTTATTGCACCACTGAAAATGAGCTAGTTTTTTGTCCAGTTTGGCAGTTTGAACCTTTACCTTTATTTCACCACTGGTCAAGCAAATCAATGCGAACAATGGAAAATCAGTATATGAACATATGATGAGTGGATTCAGTAACGTTGAGCTTTTGGTGGAATACAAACTTTATTATTGATCAGTTATGTTTTCGTGTTGATACAAATCTTGGGCAAATACCATTCCAAATGTAAATGTGTTCTCATTTTCAATAAACTGACATCCATCACAAACACAACAGCATATTGAGACATTCAAATTATGTCACATCTTGTAGCTCTTCCACATCTGTTATAAATGATGGTGTGGTATAGCCTAATAATGTGTTTTTATGATCCGCTGAGCCAACGTTTCCCCGTGCGCCTGACACTAAATACATCACAGTGCTGATTTGTGCTGGGGCCAGGAGGCATCAGAAGAGACGTGGCTGCACTTGAAGAATGATCGCCAGCCCGCGCACATCAGAACGTGCCCTCGTGATGGAGCCTGCAGCGGAGATTAGGTCCCTCTTTCTCCTCTGTGCTTCCTATAAGACACAACACGGGCAGTTAAAAACATCAGGACTATTGTTTGCATTAGGCTTGGTCTGCACAAAGGCCTGAAATAACAACTACAATGTTACGCGTGACAGTGAAATGAGGCGTAGCTATGAATGGATACAGGGCTGACAAAAGTTTAAGTAAGGAGGCAACTGAAAAAAATAATCCTACAATAAAGAGTTTTTATTTTTGGTCAAGTGATTTCATCCCTATGTAGGTGTGGAAATGTTGTCATGTCATCTTGAGTTACATTCCAAGGGTATTAACTTCAGTGTAAAGTAAAGGTATTTTTTGGTTCATTTAAATCTAACCTGGTCAAATAAAAGAGAATAAATAAAACAAATAAAAAGTCTTATAGCAAAAGAAGTAGACAGACATGGGCGAAGCTGTTTTTTTAAGATGAAGTGTGGTAGCTGTGCTTTGCCATTGTAAGATGACCAGTATGACCAGTATGCTTCTTGGATTTTTTTTTTTCTCTTATATAATTTGTTGTCATTTTCCTGACTTTTGGGCGGCCCGGAGTCTGTTTTTCATTTGAGCATGTTCATGTGTGTCTGTCATGTCTCATATTTTGTAATACTACCAGTCAAAATGAGTGATCTCTTTCTGGTATAACTGTGTCAAACCTGCCCTCATACTCTGAACAGACAGGTGAGGTTGTGGGGGTCTTTTTGCCTGTCTATAATATGGCCATTCGATCCTATGATAATAAATCCTGGCATTGGTGCACTATCATGAGCAGTGTGAGCGTCAGACCTCTACAACAGAGCTTTCCTTGTAAAACATGACGTGCCAGTGTTGTAGATCACAGCCTTTGCAGTTGCCTGGGAATGTGCCTTTGGTTTGTACACAAAGAATGCTGTCACTCTACATCGAAGAAGGCATGATGGACAGGCTTGATTAGTTCGCTTGCGTGCGTGTCAGTGTGTGTGTGTGTGTGTGTGTGTGTATGTGTGTGAGGGAGAGAGAGCGAGAAGAGAGACTAAAGAAACACACCTAGAGAACACACCTCGGCAGATGTATAAGGCTGAGAGCGGGAGAGATGGCGCCACTGAGTCTGCAGGCATGGCGGTTGCTCACACCGTCCCAAATGTGCGTGCCGTGTGCAAAACCGGACTCATCCCTGCCCCGGGACCAGAGGATAGAAGCTTTGATGTTTGCAGAGTAATTAAAGGGCACATACGCGGATTATCGTGTCTCGTAGCGTACTTTGGCTCCGGTCCATGCTAACACACATTCACACCATTGAGAGCCTGAAGTATGGCACAAGAGGAGAAAGCCCCAGAGTCGTCTTAGCTTTCCTCTTCTGGACGCAAACAGCATTCATAGTGGCATTCATCGTATAAAAAACATATGTTTGTTCATCCAAAGCTTCACAAAGAGTTGTTGTTGTGGTTGGCACATGTAGAGAAACAAATCAACACACATCCCATTGGAGGTGTACCGGTGATAAATGATTATGTCAGATTCATTGTTGTCACTGGATAGGTTGGTTTTCACAACGCTGAAATCAAAACATGCCAATTTGTTTCTTAGACATTTTTCCTTGCAGGAAAAATAAATTAATAATTACATATAAAAATCACACATTTTTGAAAATATTTTGAGCTTTTGTGTGATGCCTATTGTAATGCGTTCAGGGACAGAACATTGCAGTACACTGGATCTGTAATCTAACACTACTAATAATACAGCTGCAAATTTTTAGAATTATTTTAATTATTATGTTTATGATTGGTTGACTAGCCAATCTCTTCTTTTGTGTAAATACATTTTTAACAAAATGTTTTCACCAAAATGTTGAAATTTGATGGCTGAAGGCATTTAGATAGATAATAATTACGGGAACAGTGTATTATTGATGATAAAATATTAATAGCTTCTTCTTTTTGACATTATGATTTAATAATGCTCCTCTGGTAGTTATAAAGGTTTTTGGCGTATGTTTTAGAGTCTAGTCCAGTTATTAATTATCAAAATACCATTACAATTATTTTGATAGTGGTTAGTCACAATTAATCACAATTATTCGGATTATTTGTTGCAGCCCTATTAAATAAACAATAGTGCATGTGTTTGGGTTCCAAAAGGGACAAAAATGAATCAGATTTTGATTAGCTTGATTACAGTCAGCAAATTTAAAATCAGAATACATGCTTGTTTTGTTATCCTAACCTGAACTCAAAATCTGCAGGCTTGTGTTGCCAGCTCCCTCCAATCTTCACTCCTCCTGTGTAAAAATGAAAACGCTAAGTCACAAGCTTAAATCATTATTAATGTGGCTGTAACTTCCTAATAGCACCGCCACAGAACTGCGGCGATAAAAAGCTCTCTGTTAAACAATTCACAGCTGTTTGAGCAGCCACAATATGCGAGCGGGCCCTATGCACTCATCTTTATTGTGACTATATCTTCACTATGATAATCATTTGTGGCTTGGTTCTGGCTGGTTGAGGCTTGGGAAACAGTCCAGCCCCCTAGAGCATGCAGCAGGCTTGGTTGCTGGATTCCCTGTAGTTTCAGACAGGGTAGGACATGACCAAAATGACGGGGTTTGGAGACGGAGAGAACCCAGCAAAACACACACAAACTGCCCAGGATTCTGACGAAGGCTTAAGTGTAATTTGGGCTAGAAGAAAGGTCAAGTCTGTAGCTGCGACACATGCTAGCTCAATCAGGTCCACTGTGGAACAAGTATGTCTTTATAGGGAGCACTGGCACTTCTGCTGTTTGCTTTCACCTGCACGTTTACCTTGCGTTGGTGAAGACAAATAAAGGCAGTTTTGGTCGCTTTACTTCATGTTTCTTGTAAGTAATGCTGAGTCGGCATCCCACACTCTCAATCCGTCGTCTCTCTCTCGGTTTTTCCAACGGCAGGATTCAGTTTGAGTGACGTCTGGAAAGTGCATCTCTGAGCCTGGAAATAAAACAACATCCGATTGGTTATTTATGAAGCTTCCTGTTTGTTGAGGGGCGCAGAAAGAAAAAGAAAATGACTGTCAACATTGTATAATAATGTAATAGTGTTCTAAAACTGTAATAAATAACAGTAGTTCATTTAGAGTGTCATTATAGCAGATGGCACATTACATTACATATTATGTTCACTGTAATGAAGCACATCACTAAGTATTGATTATATGCACACTCTGTAAGCCTTAAAATATTATTTTAATATTGCCACATTGTCTGTTCATTTATTTTCAAAATGTGTTATTTTTGTCTGTATTTTTGGAGTATATGGAAATTGTTTGGTAAAATAAAAGTCAAATTTTAAATTATGCACACAATTAACTGTGTATAGTAACAAATAGTACTTAATGTGTGACGATCTTCAGGCTTTGATTATGCAGTTAACACAGTATTAAGCTCTGTAACATATTCTTACAATATTATTAGTAAAAGCAAAGGTCTTTGTTCAGTATGATAAATTCCGATGTGTTTGTTGCAGTTGCACAGAGATGTTATGTGCGTGCAGAGCGTCGTATGCAAATGAGCGCGCGCGGAGCTCCAGTGACAGCTGCAGCATTAGACCAATCAGAGCGCGCGCAGATGCAGCCAGTTTGAGCTCGCACGAGGAGGTGTGTGAACCATGTCAGCTCCACTCTGATGTGCGCTCGAGCCAAACATTCAGATTGACTTGAGTTTTGGTGAAAGTGCTAAAATGTGTGCAATGATGCCGCTCTGCCAAAGTCTGCGCGGGTTTTTTACGGTTGTCTTGGACCTAAACATGGATTTGTTTTTGTAGAACTCATGAGAGCATACTCAGAGCGGCACTTATTAATGGACTCGTATCTCCGCTAATGATGTCTATGGGTTTCACGCCTGACAGTCTCAACGCGGCAGACCCCTCCAAGTCGGCCTTTCTGGAGTTTGGCCACGGACACCCGGCACACCAGCAACCATCAGCCGGACTGTCCCATATCTACCCGGTTCACGGCCTACACGCCGCGGGGCACTCCCAGCACGACAGCCCGTTCCCCACCGGAGCGTCTTATGGACGCTCTCTGGGCTACCCCTACCCCGGCACCGTCAACACTCACCCTCCATCCGCTTACATGCCCTACGCGCACGGCCACAGTCCCGGGAGCGGCCTGGGGCATGGAAGGGCTCAGCTCGCAGGTACGTACAGCATGTGGTTGGGGCGGGTGTATTCTTGTCTGGAAGTAACACAAATGCTGTCATGTGTCCTAAAACAGTACATCTTTACTTAAAATATATTAAAAGTTTACCTGAGTCATCTGTACAAATTCCATGCGTAAAAGTCCATAGCGTCCATCCAGTGCCTGACGTTGAGGTTGCTCCTGTGTGTCATAATAAAGGCAGATGAAGCCATTCATTTTATTGACCATAATTTTCTGTGGCTTGTACAATTATAGCTTATGTATCCCATGCATTTACCTCAGGAACGCGTTTTACCCTCACTAAACACGAAGAAGACCAAGATTGTTTAAAGGCATATTATTTTAATGATGTCTGTGTATTCCCAATGGTAATGTGCTTGGAAGTCTAGGGAAGCTCATAACATCAAGATTTTATGAGTTAACAAATACAAATGTTTTTTTCGACATGTGAAAAAAGTGTGAAGAAAATTATTAGATAAAGAATGCATTTATGTTTGAGCCTTGAGCTATTGGGCCTTGATTGTTGGAACCACTTTTATGCAAACTGTGTGCGTGCGTGTGTGTGTGTGTTTCAGATCGGGACAAACCCACAACGGTGCCTGAGACCAGAGATATTCGTCTAAACGGCAAAGGGAAGAAAATCCGGAAGCCTAGAACCATTTATTCAAGCCTCCAGCTGCAGGCTCTGCACCAGCGCTTCCAGCAGACCCAGTACCTGGCCCTACCGGAGCGCGCGGACCTGGCTGCCAAATTGGGCCTTACGCAGACTCAGGTGCGCACATGAACTAAACAAACAATGCTTGGGTTTAGAAACATCACATAAATAAGCTTGTCTTTTTTTTTTTTTTTTTTTTTTTTATCGGGGTAAATGTGCCCATACAGTCTATTGCTCCTAATCTGTCAGATGATTCCTTATCCCGCGGTGTCACTGGGCGAAGGATGTTGTTGGTTATTAGCCTTAAGAGGAGACGCCTTATCTGCTCAGGGGGATCATAGTGCTGAAGAAGATCAAACGAATAACATAATAGTTGTCGTTTGTAACCCAATCCCATAATGCAGGCCTTATTTACGATGCTTAAAGTCTACCCGTCATTTCAAGTTCAATATAATTTTACGCACGCGTAAATTTACAACCAAATTACTCTAATTTTAAAAATTGACAACGCTTTATTAAATTTACTTTTAGCCTACATCTTATGGCAAGCTGCTTTTTCAAAATGTCTCTTTATTAGTTGTCCTATTTGCATGTAATTAAACATGTCATTGATTTTAGATATAGGAGACATTCCGTTTGTCTGTGATCCTTTTAACTATCCCACGCGTTTCCCGCATATTTTACCACCTAAATTATGCGTTGTCTAAATAATAATTTGACACCATTACAACACTGGGCCTACGTTTAATTTCCCTTGTAAACTGAAGACAAGCAGGTGCACGCGCCGCTGTCAACAAACCATTACGCACAAAAGAGGGCAAAAACGAGCCCGTCACTTGTCGCCATATTGCTTGTGATCTCTCCACTCGCAATATCAATGGCCTCATTACGACGCGTGAGTTGACAGGTTCAAAATAACAGACAAACAAACCAATCTCGTCTGTCATCTGATATGCCTTTCACTCATTTTGAAATAGAGGTATTACAACAACATTCCATTCCTGTATTCTGCAATCTCGTTGTTTTATTTAGCCTAGTATAAACTCACACTATTGTTGCAGTTTAAATATAGCTCTTTTATGACAAATTATCTAAAATTCGCTTTTAGCTTTATAAATCATGCGTCCATGATGGTGCCATAAAATACGAACAATGAGAGTTATAATGGATTAGCTGTGCCACTCAGCCTTGGCCTGCCATTATGAGCCAATAGGCCTGGGATTTACTAAGCCAACACACAACATTGGAGTTAGGAGGAGTTTCCCTTTTTATTGTTCAAATATCCCTTTAAAACCAATGGTGAAAAGCATATTGAATTTTTACAAGGGGAAAATATGCCTGTAAAAACCCTTTCACAGCATTATGTCCATTGTGCGCACACCGACCGCACTGACAATATTATGTGTGCTCTGTCTTTTTAGGTGAAAATATGGTTTCAGAATAAGCGCTCCAAGTACAAAAAGATTATGAAACATGGCAGCGGATCAGAGGGCGAACATCTCCACAGCACCGCCAACTCCATTTCGCCCTGCTCGCCCGGTTTGCCACAGCTTTGGGAGGTCTCCATGGCAAACAAAGGCGCCCAAATGCACCCGAACAATTATATGAACACTTTTGGTCACTGGTACCCAAACCACCACCCTCATCACCAGGACGCAGTGCCCAGGCCCCAGATGATGTGAATGGTTTTGATTGGCTGCTTGGACGCGGAAGTATCGGAACTCTACCTAACTTCAGTTATTGTGTGTTTGAACAATGTGTTTCACTGCGTTTAGATTTTTGCCCATCTTTAAAACGTGGCCAGCCATCAAACGCCGTTATTTTATTCTTGTGAAATGCCAAGTGTGGTTTTGCGTGTGTGCAGTTTACAGACATAAAGACTGCTAAAAGAAAGCAAACTGCTTTTGTCATTTTTATATGCTATTGCTCACGTGGCTAACAGGTTATAGGCTTTTTGGTAAGCTAACGGATTTTAATGTTTCCCTCAAGCGTCAGGCTTATTGGAAGTTGTTAACAATGTTACAGAAATGTGTCCGTACTAAGGTAGCCAATAAAATTAAATTTAGCCTATTATCAGAATTTATAGCCTAGGCCTTTAGACAGCACCGGTCCAAATATGGCAAACTCTCTCATTGCGCAGTTTACTCACACACACGAAAAGTTAAAAACAAACCAAATAAAATCAGTTGATGAGAAAGAGGACTTGACGCCATTTTACCTTGCGTTATGGTGACTTCAGTTTCTGTAAGTGTTGGTACACGACAACGAGGTGCAAAAATGTCCAAAACGCGTAACCTTTACGCACACTAACCTTTTTCAACATCATGCATCTTATTCTTTCAAATAGGTTCATAGCGTGAATAGAGTCGAAAAGTGCTCCAAGACAACGTTTTACAATCTATTTTCTTTGTGCTTCGTACAAGGACTTGACTCCACCGTTGTCAAAATAGGATGATAAATGGCGGCACGGTGAACTCGGCCTGATTTATTGCAGTTTACAGTGATTCGCACATTATGGCGCATACTGGCTGCGCACACTGTCCAAACACAGTGATTTGGCTATTTACGCTAGTGCCTTGGTCCAGGCAGATGCTGCTAATGAAGCCGAGGCAGAGCACTGATTAACGAGGTCTAGCTGTTTTAAAAGAAACAACTAATGGCTTCTTTTATCTTTTTCATTAATCACAAGCCTCGAGCTGTCTGGCAAGCGTAACTTAACACTGATGTCACACGTAAAGACACTGCTTTACATGTAAATCTCCTAAGTGGCGAAAGGCCCTCGGTGCGCATTAGCCTAGTCAAAGCGTTATCCAAACGCTCTGAAACAAGTTAACAAAGCGCCACGCCCAATTTATTTGCTTTTTTAATTCGAAATCTAAACGATGTTTTTTTTTCCTCGTTTTTTTTTTTAATTAAGCATCATGATAATTTTTTAAGTTCATTTATATTTTGACGTGCAATAATAAATATAAGACCTATTTTTGTACGCGCCATGTCAATGTGGTAATGCTAACCTACAAGGCCAACAAGCAACAGGGTAATTCTCACTACAACCACAAAAAGCAGCCTTACCTTCATCCACGTGGTGAGTTAATTACATCAAAAAATTATTGCTATATTTTCGCCCAGGTTCCACGACATTTCTTGAGTATCTCCAGACATGTTACACCTCTCCTTCCTTTATGCAGCTTACAAAAAGGCACTCGCTTTGCCCTCGCCTCATTCTTGATGTTTATGCGCCTTGTTAACATGCGAGCTTTGGGAAAGAAGGAAGAAGCGAGCATTGCTTTAACCAAGTGACGGGGCATCAGGGAAAATTATAGGCAATTTTACATCTCCAGATTAGAATAATGGCTTGTGCAGTTGGACAGACAGAGCACCAGGACCATTCAAACGGGAGGGCCAATTATCACGCACAGATTGAAGGCACCGTGAAAAGACTCCCGGTGTAATGGACATGTTAAAGGAGGGGAGGAGGTTAATGATAAAGGCGTAAAAGTGAGTTATCAATGGCCTGCTTGGTTGGGGTTATCAGATATGAGGTGTCAGGCGCGCATTAATTACAGGATAAGAAGCAAAATGGCGTAGTATTAAACCCCGGTTGATTTGAATGGGCAATTGGCAAAGCAGGTCCCGAGGGTGATTATTATTATTAACTTGAGTGATCTGACATCTTGGGTAATTGTGAGCAGCTTCACAGTAGAAGAATGGATGCATAATTTCGACTATACTCACAGCGAACCCTATTGCAAGATTAAATAAACTGGTTTAGAATTTGTTCAAATAAAATCATCCCTACATTCATTAAGGCACAGAGATAGTTTTGTCTGTATAGGCCAACTCTGTAACATTTTGAACTAAAGGCCCTGCTCTGGGGTCATCTTCAGTTCAGCATGTCAAAGATGCTTCTCTCCCTCCCCTCGCTTCATCTGTTTGCAGCAAAACTGGAGCAGTGAGTGATCATAATGCAGATTCTCAAAGCTGGACAGCTGCTCGAAGTCTTTCCATCTATGCATTTTCCCCTCATCCCGACCTCCACCTCAACTCCAACTCCCCTGGCACCCATGGGACCAGCGTTGACACCAAATTGCGGACTGTTGCAGCAGCATGGAGGGCAGGAGGGACTTCCAGAAGGCCGAACACACCACGTCTATTTATGTGATAGTGTGCCATGCCAGGATCACATTCAGGTTCAACAGTTCAAGACAATCTCATCAGCTACTTACACTTGTTCCTGCCCAGAGATGACATATATGGACACATTTGGCTAGCCCACACACACTAAAGTAGCAAGTGCGGCCTGTAGCTAGCATACGCACTTGTCGTCGACACAAATGTTTCCCCTGACAACAGAGCTCAGGGCCACACACGCAGAGGAAGCCACCGAGGGAGCGTCATATGAACTCTTGATGAGATTTCATTATATCAAAAGCCAATAGTCATTATGGAGCTTCTGTCAAATCAGCAAGTGAAAGAGCACTGCCCCAGCTTGTTGACGGAGACTGCAGACAACTGGAGTTCTGGAGTTCAGGGGAATTCACCAGAGGAGGGCATCAGGGACAAGTGTTAGGACCACTGCATTTTGGAAGTACAATTCTTAAAAGGGGAATTTGATTATTAAATGATGTATTTGTATGAGTGTGCGTGTGTGTATTTACAGTATAATATACTATAATATAATATATTATACTATACAATACTACTTCTATGAACATATGCCATATATATATATCATATTTCAGGCCTTCAATAAACTGTTCAAGTTGGCTCCTTCTACAGAAACAATGATTTTTCAGGTTATTCAGAAAACAAGAAATATAATACTGATTCACAATGAATATATCTAGAGCCACACAGTTTGGGCAATGTCATCTGACATACACACAATTTAGTGAAAGAATTCTTATATGAGCAATAAAAATAAATACATATTTTAGTACATATTTTAATTTAAATCTATATTTTAATAAATTTCTTCACAACAACGTTTCTATTCACAGTGGTTGAATGATTAAATCATTTGCACTCATAAACTAATAGATGGTCATGGTGCAACTTGAGAAACATGTACTTGTAATTATCCATTTAAGAGCGATTTATTGTGACACTTAATTATTTAAAAATACATTTCGGGACAGCTTTGAAGATCTGAAAATGGCACACTGTTGTAGCCCATGTTCATAAATTCACACCTCCAGACGCGTACATATGGTTGTGTAATTACGCAGTGAAGCGTTTTGGCGCACTACATTTGTTACAAATTCTCAGAATTTGCGCATATTTTGTTTAAGAGACGTGACCGACTTAACACATAAGCTCTCAACATACGCACGCCTTAAAGTTTCTTTCATCCAAAGATTCTCCTTAAACCTGTGTACAACCTGCGTCATCCCTTGGACTGGGTGAAGGTAATAACCTGCTCTTCTGGAATTTAGATCGTTTCAGTTGGATCATCTTGCCAACCCCAACAAAGTGTTAACAACATCCAAAAACCAACCAAAAATCACAAGGGTCGTTTTCAATAGTTTAGACTTCTGGCAACTTTTTATTCATATGTCCTTCTGTGTGCGTACACGCACCCCATTTTGGCTGTGCGCTCCTCTCCGCCCTTTCTCTCTCTCTCGCTCTCTCTCCCTTGTTATCTGGCAACAGAATAGTAATAAAAGAGAGTGACTCCAACATGTCTACATGTCTGCGAGTGTGTCGCCTCCTACTGCAGTGCTTTGCACGCAGCTCAGAGCGCCCACACACGCATGCACACATGCCTTTACTCGGGTAGTCCTGAAATGCACCCTTAACTAGGATAAATTAAAAGAAAAAATAATAATAATAAACTGGGAAGTGAATCTGTATATGGCAAGTGATTAAAATATTTTCACACAAAAGGTAGGCCTAAGTTGTTTGACCATAACTTAAACTTTTAGACAAATATATAGCCTATGCGAAATCAAATGAAAGAGCAGCGTGTGTGTTTTTAAATGAAAGATGTATGCATTTTGAATTATTTGGTGCATACGGAATAAGATTTGAAGAAAAAATGCGTATAGGAAGCAAAATGTCTTTATGCGCACGTTTACAGTTTGAACTAAAAGGTCTTTTGAGGTACAGCAGTAGGCCTATTATCTGACCTACATTCAGTTGTAACTAATAAAATCGAACATTTGGTTATGATGTTTATTGGAGTTACGTTGCGCCAGACGGTTGATCAGGTTAAAGAAAGCGCTAGACACACAACATCTAATTAACAGCTTTATTCAGTTGACAGAAAGGCAACAAGTGGACTAATTACATGAATATAAAAGGAAGCACCACGGTGCTCAAACGAATAAGATCATAGTGGTTCTCATATAAACACATATTTACAACCTTCGACGTTATCTTTGTACAAATCCATACAGTATAAATAGACCTGAGTTTTTATGATGCCTCGTCACAACCCCTTATGTAGGACTTGAATTAATTTCATACACTGGTAAAACTGCTTAAAAAAAGAATACAACAGAACATAAGCGATAAATAATTTAATAAACCACGCCATTGTCCTTTAAATACGCTGCCACGAGCAACAAAATCACGTATGTGCTTTTCAACCCAGTTCTGAAACAACGAGCCCAGATGATCCAAAATCAAAGGCGATGTTTCATGTTTGAGGCTTGTCCCGCTTCCTCTTAGAGTCTCTACGGCAAAAGCACATATCTGTTGAGTCCCTCAGTATACGGCCCCTACACTCTGCTGCGGCACGGCGTGGTGCACGGTGCCTGGGTGCTGTAGGTGCGTGGATCCCTGTTGGTACCAGTGGCTGCTATAGTCCTCCATGTAAGGCGGCGAAGGGCTGCTGTGCGTGGGCTGGGGCGCTACGGGGGCTCGGCTCAGCGCGGTGCTTTGGGGCGTGCTGCTGCTGCTGCTGTCCCACACAGCGGGAGAAGGGGGAGAGTTACACGCCATGGAATCGCTGGCATTGGGGCTGTGTTCCAGGGGAACCTCGCCGTTTTTGTACAGCTTCTTGAACTTGGACCGGCGGTTCTGGAACCAAATCTTCACCTGAGAACAATGAGACAGGGTGCACATTAGTATAGCTGAAATATAACTTTCATTTGGTCAGGGACGAAAATTGTTGGAACACTAATTAATAAAGGTTAGTTAATTTTAGCTTATTTCATTATTGAATGATACTGCATTGCATGTTCTATGCACAAAATACATTCAGTGGCAAAATAATAGAATAATTAATTGTCCTTCTCTATCCACACCTTTTTATATTGTGCTTTTGCCATGACACTATGCTCTTTATTAATAACACAGTTTAATGTGCACAAATCCAATTGATAATAATAATGATTGCATTTGAACTGTCCGCGTAATTACGCGCGTGGCTTAGGACACATATGTCTTTATATGAATTGTATTTAAAGGATAAAACAATGGGGACTTGTGAAAGAGAGAATGTCCTGTTACCTGTGTCTGGGTTAGGCCCAACTGGGCTGCAAGCTCCGCTCTCTCGGGCAGCGCGAGGTACTGCGCCTTTTGGAAGCGTCTCTGCAGAGCGGCGAGCTGGTAGCTGGAGTAGATCGTCCTTGGCTTGCGAATCTTTTTTGGTTTTCCGTTCACCATTCGTACTTCTGGCTCTGGCTCCTCTTTAACTACAATGAAATAATAACCACATCATTTATTATAGTTTGATATATGCGCAAACTCTGACAGTATGTAAATACATCGTGGTGTTCAGAGAGACGTGATATTTCCCATATTGTTAAAATGTGGTAAAAATAAAACGTATCAAAACAAAGGTTTTCAAATTTAGCAGCATGCCTCTAAAGTTCACCCCGGAGAAAATTATCATTTCAACTCATCTCATTATTGTTTTATGACCTGGTGCTAATGATCAGAGGTGTTAAAGTAAAAACATTAAAACTGATACATATCTGTGTGCGTACACAGTAAAGAACGCACAACATCTTAAATTCGCATTCTCATATTTTATGCACTTACATAGTCATGGCTAAGATAGAGATTTTGTTCACAAAGCTGGAACCTTAGGTTTAAGGTGAATTCTTACCTGAGATTGGAGGCGAAGCCTGGAGGTGGTCTCTGTTGTAATGTCCATACTGTCTGTAGCTGTTCGTGTATGGATATTCTGATTTAGTGGGGTAGGCTCCGGCAGCCCCCATCCCGTTCAAGTTAAACTGATGGTGGTATGAGTTGATGGGCTGCCCGTACGCCTGACCCTGGTAGTACTCGTGGTGGCCGTTGTAGTAGCCCATATCCGTTACGGAGGACTCGGGCAGAGTTGGGGAGTCCTTGGAGCTTGGATGGCAACCCATAGATCCAGGTAGATCTGTCAGAATGCTAGAGATCTTCTTCTCGTAGGTTTGTGCGGCGCTCATGGTGAAAGCAGCCCTTCCAAAAACACAACTCCACTGGTAGCTCTTAACGCGCTGTGCTGGTGTATATTCCAAAGTAACTCTCCTAAGCTGCAGTGACTCGGTTGTGGCATTGCTCGGTTCTTGTGACACAGTTATAGAGCGCTGGGCTGCACGCTGCCTTCTCATTGGCTGTTGGCTTCACCCCTCCTTCTGGCGCTCCAGGCAAGGTTCGTGGTAAAAGCCAGCCTTCAGCGAAGAGCCAATGCACGCATACTTTACCATCACTGACTTGTTTCTACGCACCACATTTGCATTTACCTGTCCAGCAGACTTGTATACCGTACCTCATCTCTACTCTAACTGTATGTAGGCCTAAACACAAAATGTCCTTGTACTTGTACTTGTACACATAAAAATCCAGTTGGTTTTCAGCCTAAGTTTTACATAATAAGTCTTTAATCCTGGAGCCAGACCGTCTCCTTACGTTTTTTATGCAATGTTTTCTTAAGACCAGGCGCAGACTACACCGTATTGAGCCCATTCAAAGACCTCCCACTGTCTTCCATTGTGATTCAATAGGTGTTGGCGGACAGTGAACTTTAGGTGAAAGAGATGGGCAGATAGAAGATCCTGTGCGCCCGGGGGCTGTTGCGTGTGTCAGTGCAATGCTAATGTAAACACACGTTTTGCAAACAAGAGTATTTATTTTTCCAATTACCACGGTTAAGGATGAAACAGCGAGTGGTTATCAAAATGGAAGATGTAGTCCTGTTTGATATGATCAAGAACTCACTGACATGAAAGACATGGTGAACAGCGCCACCTACTGCACTCAATCTATAACAACGCGCGTGTATCTCTTTTGCTTGGAAAAAGTTGAAATACCCCGTTTCAAAATCATAAAAAATGTGTTTTATATTTAATTTAATAGTGGCCCACTCTTCACCTGACCTGAGTCAAAGGAACGTGAAGACTCAACTGTGACATGAGAAATGAAGTCCAAACATACAACTCTACTGCCCTCTTTGGACATGCTTTTGTATCACAACTTTTTTTTCCCTTTTTAATCTGGGGTGCATGCAGAGGCCATATACAATTTGCCTCGTTCCTCATGTAGAAGCTCAGAACCTCCAGAATTCACTCACTGAACAGCAGAGGCTGCACTAGCACTGATTATGAATTGGCTGATTAATAGGTGAGACTCAATCTGCTTTGTCTGAATCAAAACACCAAATTATAACATGACCAACGCGCCCATCATGCCCAATGTTTTTGTAACTAAGAATAAATGAGCATTAGTATTGTTATCACTATAAACTACATTTATATCTATATTTGCATGTGTGGACACCGTTAGGTCAAATTTATGGCGTTTAAAATAAAAATCTTACATACAGTACTCATACAGTTACTTTAGGGATACTCCATGCTGGCCTTACTGTTTAAATACTCACATACTACATGGCTGTCGACTTCTCACGTGATCCCATTTAGCTGCTTGGTTGTTGACAAGTTTGGTTGTAGACAATTACGCAGTTATGTCCTTTAAAGTTTAAACTTTTTAGTACATAGTAAAATGTGTCATGGCTTTCTCTTGATTTAATTAAAACGCCACATTGTTGCACTACATTGAGGCGCCACGAGGCGGGGAGTCACGTTCCAAGTCCAAAAAAGTGCAAATTTAAATGAATGCACAAGAATGTCACAAGTGCTGCAAGCGAAGGTATGTCACAAGTTACTTTTAGGTGCTTTCGTTTATACAGATGTACAGACGTTTATACAGATACAAACAGGACGTAAAAGTGAGCATCTTATTTCTTTACACCTTTGAAACTTCTAAACTCCTTTAGCATAATCATGATTATGCCTAAATTAAGGGAACAAGTCCAGGCACGTGTATACAAGTACGAGTTCCCACTAATCACCACGAGATGGCAGTATTGCTCCAAAAAAGACTAAAGTTTGCCTTTACGTCCACATAAAAACATAGTAGCCATCTCAAAATGCAATAGATGATTTTACATGTAGATTCTAACATCATATGCTACGTGATTTGGTTTTATTGTGAAATATTGTACAATATAAGGGTTCGTACTGTAGTTGCAATAGTTGCAATAGTTTCCGCAGCAGAGGATAGCAGTATTCTGTTTGTAACACTATATATACACACCTACACTGCAGGATGTTTGGACTTGAATCATATGGGACAGGGCCGCAACAACAAAGAGCTCCCCTGCCTCTCCCTTGGTCAGACCCTTTTCCACAGTTCCATGGGTCTTTGTAAAGTCCAGATAAAGAGTAGTACAGAGTGAGATAGAGATGGTCTGTGTGCTAAAGCAATACATCTGTTCTTTTGTAGTTCATTTTAAGTAGTAGTAGTAGTTTTTCAGTTTGTTCACTTTTATGCAATACTTGAACCTGAACTGAGACATTTACAGGCATGTTTTAGTACATTTCTGATGGATTTGTATAAAATTGTCAAAATTATGAAAGAATCTCAAGATACCTATACAAATACTAAGATACCTATATAAGTATTTGCTTGTCAGTTCTCTAATTTAGGACCTGTGTCATCATTAAAGGTCCTATATTTCACAAAATTGAGTCTTGTGAGCTTTCAGCCATGTCACAATTTTGTTATCTCATCAAAAGCATAACTGGTGTTATGTTTTGTTTCATTCACACATATTTGAGTAATCCTTTATTATTAGTCTGTCTGTGTGTAACATAACGTTTTTTGTTTTTTTTTACAGAAATTACAGACTTGTGAACTCTTAGTAATGTCACCCTTTTGTTGTACCAGGCTGCTCCACTGGGTCAGCTTTGCTCAGATGTGAACAGCTCTCGACTCCAGGTACTTCGCCGAGGGTCCACCCACAGCTGCCAAAGCGTTTACAAGCTAATGGGACACACATGCTCACAGATGCTAAAGGCCATGGGCTCACTGGCACCTACACACATGTTAATACACACATGTAAATACACAGGAGGAAGACATAGTGAAGCTCGATGGTCCCCTGCAGCTCAGAGAGAGCAAGAGAGAGAGTGTAATGGCCCCGGTAATGACACTGCTCTAACTGATGTCATGCTCTGTAGTTATAAATGGTGTAGTGTGGCAGGCCTGCTGTGACACTCTCCTAACACTCTGTTACATTAGACATCTGGAAAAGACTTCAGAGTCACTTGTAAGTATTTAACCAGGCTGCAAATGTTCTGTTCTCACTGAGTTACACAGTACAATGTCTGGTGTTTGTCAAGGAAATAGCTACATCAGGTTAGTTAATATGAAAAGAGCAGAGGTCCATTAAGGCATTTGCCCTATCTCGCAATTGTCAACATTTAGTACCCTAACTTGGACATCACACAACAATAACATAGTCAAGCATTTTTTAAGTTCCTATTACACAGAATTGACTCTTGTGAGCTTTAAGCCATATTATAATGTTGTAAGTGTATCAAAGACATGCCTGGAGTTGTATTTTGTTTCATTCACATGTTTGAGTAAGTAGTAGTCTGTTTACATCTCTAAAGCTCAAAATGCTTACTTCTACCTTGTGATGTCACGAAGTGGTAGTTTTCAAGTAAACAGCTATCTTTTACTTTTTGTTCAGTATAGATTAACAATTTCAGGTCTGAAATTATCCAACTGATTCTAGTGAAGGTGTATGAAGTTTTAAAACAAAGTGGAGCATTCTCTGCATTACCACATGACATCACAAGGTGGAACAAAGAGTTTATGTTTGAAAGAAGAACTCAGCCTAAATTTGCAAGGTTTATGTGTTAAACATGTGTGAAGGAAACAAAACAACTCTACTCTGGGTATTTTTTTGTGATGAGTAAACAACATTATAACATAGATCAGAAAATAGTGTAATATGGACCCTTTAATATATCAAACATATTACAATTTTGAAAATGATGTAAGTTGTCTAACTAGTAAGAGAATATGCAAAATGGTTGTGCAAGTGTGCGCATGCATAATGGGCGCTTGATGATAATAATGTGCTTATTACGGAGATATTAAGCACTGGATTGTGGGTAATTGGACTAATGTAGTGATGTAAATGCCAAACCAGGAAACAGAGAGATGGCTATCTGTTATGAAGACAATGTTTCTACACATCCTAACTTTTGTTCATTTGTTTGGTAATAAGGCAACAACAAAAAAGCATGTGCAGAAATTACTCACATTTGATGTTAAATGTGGTGCATTATGTAACTTTACTGGGGAAAGTCTACTACCGGCCTGTCTCCATGGAGATGTCATTGCTTTGTCTGGATGGCTGGTTTCACAGTTTGGCATTAAATGTATCTATGTCTATGGAAACAAGCTAATGGCACCGGCTTCATCCCTTTGAGATCCTGGTTTTATTCATATACTTTGCAGCTGATGTCATCAACATTTCCTGGGGGTGTGTTGCTAACTGGAGGCACTGCTCTGTCTGAAACTCTGTTCCTCAAGGTAAGATTTATTTTAACATAATTTGACCACAGAGAAAGCACTTAGTTAGAGACAGTGGTGTAGAAGGGATTTTTTTAAGGTGCCAGCCCAGTAAAATCAGTAATATTTGATGTTTTTACTCAAAATGATACGGAATCATGTTATAAACATTATCGCCTTTCATAATCATCTACAGAACATAAATTATAGGCTACAACACGTGCACAGACCTGAACCAGGACTAAAACAGGACTAAATCAGGTCTAAACCAGAACTGAACCAGGACGAAACCCAGATTAAACCAGGTTTATACCAGGACTAAACCAGGACAAAACCATGACTAATCTTAGACTTGACAAAAACGCTGAGCTCATGGAGCAGGGTGTCTGTAAAGCACGATCGGGCTGCAGCTGCGCTTATCCCCGTGGAGCGGCGAGCTCTCTGCCGGTCCTTTCTCCTGTGGTCACCCGACGATCTACAGGGGCGCATCTCCGGGCCCGTCCCAACACTCAGGCCTGGTTCAGTTCTGGTATGTTCCTAATTTAGTCCTGGTTCAGTCCTGGGTTCAGTGGGTGGATGGCCTACCCCTGCATACCACACCCACTACACCCCTGGTTTGAGCTGAAATAGTCTTTGTGCTGTTATACAAGTCTTTCTCAAATACATCTG